AATCCCATCCCTTTCCTTTCCTTCTTTCCCTTCTCTTCAGTTCCATCCTTTTCCTTCTTTCCCTTCTCTTTAATTCCATTCCTTTCCTTCTTTCCATTCTCTTCAATCCCACCCCTTTCCTTCTTTCCCTTCTCTTCAGTTCCATCCCTTTCCTTGTTTCCCTTCTCTTCAATTCCCTTTCCCCTTACCCGGAATTCCCACAAACACCAACCAGACCAACAGATCCCTCTTTTAAGAGCACCCCACACCCCAAATCCCCAAATTCCCGATAAGCCGATCCCGCTTTTCCCCCCATTCCTGCACTCACACATTCCTTCTCCCACTTGAGGGAGGTCTCGGCCACCATTCCCTGCAGCCTGGCCTCCAGCCTCCTCTTGTCCGACGCCTGCCGCTGCAGCTTCTGGCTCTTGCTCTCCAGCTCCTGCTGCAGGTTCCTCTTGTCCTCCTCGTAAATCGTGGCTGTCTTCTCCAAAATCTCAATCTGCAGGAGGAGAGGAAGGATTTGGGTGGCAACACGACCTTCCAATCCAGCAATTCCTGCTGGTATTTCCCAGGAAATCGCAGTTTTCAGTTCTAAATCGCTCGTCCTGCTGTTTTAAAAAAACCTCACCTTGTAGAAAAGACAACAAATTTGCAGTAGTTTCCCCCAAAATATTTATTCCCGATGGCAAGGAATTTGCCAAATGATCCATTTAAAAAAAAAAAAAGGATTTGTGCTCCAAAATGACCCAGCTGACCTTGTACTCCAAGGTTTTAATCTTCTTCTCCAGCCGTTCCAGCTCCGACCTCTGCCCCGTTATGGTTTTCTCCTTCTCAGCCAGTTTTCCTTGGATATAATTCTCCTTGGATGCAACACTGGAGTCAAATTCTTGCAGCATTGTTTTAAAGGCAAGAACTGGAAGAGAAATGGGATATTTAATATTTTTTCTTTGATTTTCTGCCTTATTCCCAGAACATCCAAACCTCTGTTTTTCCCAACAGATTTAAACCCTAAAGTTCCTCAAAAAAAAAAAAAAAAAAAGGTTGAAACCTTCAATCTAAACAAAAAAACTGGGGCAAGGGGGATCCTTTGAGGAATAATAAGGGCACCAAATCTGAGTTTTGCCCCGATGTTCCAATTTGGGGCAAATTCCTACCGTTTTTGGCAAATTCCTCAGCCAGCATCTGCCTCATTTTGTGGCGCTGCTCCAGGGCCTCGATCAGTTTTGGGAGGGTTTGGTCGTCGTTGATATCCAGGAGCTCGCAGGAAGGCAGGGGTGGGAAGCTCTGGAAGAACAGCTCAGCAGGAGATGGCTCCTCTGGTCCTGTGGGATGGGAAAATCCGTCAGCAGGATGGGAAAATTCCAAAGGGAAAGAGGCAGGACCGTGGAAAACTGGGAATGATTGATGGGATCCACGGGTTTCCAAAGAGAGGATGGATGGGAAAGGATTAAATGTGACATCCTCGATTCCTTGTTTTACTAAGAGCAGGTTCTGAACATCCAGGAACATCCCACAGTTCCCTTGGCACCATTTCCTGTCAGGAGCTGCAATGCTGGGGCCATGGATTCATCCCAATCCCGTGGAATTCCTTGGAAACTTCCACAGGGAGCTGAAGAAGGAAGAGCAGCAGCTCCCAGGGCACTGAGGTTCAGCCTGGTACAGTTAAGGCTCAGTGGAATTGATTTTAAATTTAATTCCCAGCCTTTAATTCCTAACAGAAAAACTCTGCTGGAAAATCATGGAATGGTTTGGGCTGGAAAGGACCTCCAAGTGATCCTGTTCCATGGGCAAGGACACCTCTCACCGTCCCACGTTCCAACCTGGCCTTGGACACTTCCAGAGATCCAGGGGCAGCCACAGATACTCTGGGAATACCATCCCAGCCCCTCCTCACCCTCACAGCCAGAAATGTTTTCCCCAAGATCCCATCCAAATTCCCCGTTTTCCAACCCGAATCCGTTCCCTGCGCGACGTCCGTCCATCCCTTGCCCCAATCCCTTCCTACTGAGCCCCGGAAGGCTCCGTAAGTTTTCCCCGAGCCCTTCCCTTTGCCGGGTGAAGATTCCCAGGGTGGAATGGCCTCACCTGGCGCCACGGGGCCGCCCCGGAGCTCCAGCCTGCGGGACAGCTCCTCCCGGAACGCCTGGTTCCGGAGGCGCCGCCCCGGCGTCAGCCCGCACAGGGGCCGGTCCAGGGGCCTGGCCACCTCCACCTCCTGGGTCATCTCCGCAAAACGCATCACTTGCTGCAAGAAAACGGGGAAAAAAGGAGCACCGGGAGCACCGGGAGCACCGGGAGCTGGCGGCGGGGCTGAGGCACCGAAGAGGGAAAGGAGGAATGATCCGGCCGGAATCGCGAGCGGCAGCGGTTTGGGATCATCCAGGAGCCTCCCCCACAAGGTGCCACAAAAGCTTGGGCAGAGACAGCTGGAATTCTTGGAATAGGAGGGGTTAAACGGCCAAATGGGGCTCCGTGGAATTCTGTGAGGAAGGGAAACCTTTCCCACTTCCCAAGCAAGGAACAGGTGTAATATGAACAGGAAAGACAGGACTTGTAGGACAGATTTATCCCACAAAATTGTAATTGATGTGCTCAAATAACAATTATAATTCTTTACATCTCTTGGAGTACAAGAATCCAGGGAAAAACAGGAAAAGAAGAGCAGGAGGGAATGGGAAAAGGGAATTTACCAGGCTTTCCTCGTAGTCCTCAGCCTTGGGATTCACACACACGATCATCCGAACTTTCCCTTCTCCATCAAAATAGTTCTTGAAGAGATGAGTCAGTTTGGAATCTCTGTATGGAACCATCTGGGAATAAAGGCCAGGGAAAATCCCCTGAGTTTTCCTTATCCAGGTGATGAAATCCAAGGATAATTAGGGAAGGGCTGCCCACCTTGTTTGTTCCGTACAATTGGTTTTCCCGCAGAACCTCGATGCACGTCCTCAATGTCATCAATGACTGGTTGATATTCCCTAAAAAAAGCAAACACAAGGAAAAAAATCACTCCACGAGCAGCCCTTGGATCACGTTCCCAGATTAGTCAGAAGAATAAATTGCCTAATTAACAATATTTGTTAATAACTGCTCTAATTAACTGAAGTGGCAGAAGTGCTGCAGCGAACTTGCGGTTTCCAAACACAATTTGAGGTCATTAAATCCTAACTGATCCTAACAGTGCGCTTCAAGAATTCCTGGGATTCTTCCCTAGGAGACAAGATTAGCAGGAGCTTAATTAGCAGGGTTAATTAGCAGGGTGCTCCAGGGTGGGTTCCTACCTGCCTCCCGCAGCCTGTTCCCCTCGGCTTTGGTCCTGTTGGTTCTCTCACTTCCCGCCAGATCCACCAGGGACAGCTGGCTCAGGGTGATCTGCTCCTTTTCCTGGGACACAGAAGAAATCCTGGATCCCTCCAGATTCCCTCTGAAGGGCTGGGGGACACCTCATCCCAAAACACACTTCCAAAGGATGTGTCGGATACGAGCTCAGAGGGGTTGGGACAGCCAAAAGCTGTTTTTGGGATGTTTGGCAGATCCCTTCTGCCTTGGGCCACGGCACTGAAAGCTGTTGGATCATTCCAATTCCCAAATTTGAGATTCCCAAAGAAAGGAAGAGGTGAAAACCAAAGGAATCAGCAGCTCCACCCTCTGTTTTAACACCGAGCTTTATGACTAACTCTGTCACCTCCAAACCTGAGGCACAGGGAGCTGTTTCCAAAGTAGATTCCATTCAATTCTTCTGGAATTCTCCTGTAATTCCCTGGAACTCACCTGGAGCACGTTGTCCCCATCAGCATCCAGAGGAGCCTGCGCCAGTTTGATGATGAACACGGAGTGGGAGCGGCTGGATTCCCGGTTCAGCTGCGTGTTGGCGATGCGCCGCTTCTTCTGCCCTGCTCAGACATCCCAAATTCCCAAAAATCCTGCTGCTTTCCCCCCGTTCCCACCTCCTCCAGCATCAGGGTGTGAGGAGATTGGGATTGGGAATGGGTTGGGAATGGGTTGGGAATGGGGAGGTCCTAAATGCCCGGAGAAGCTGTGGATGCTCCATCCCAAGGATGGAGCTGATCCAGAGGAATTTCCTCGCTCATGGATAATGTTTAAGGTGCTGGGATGTGGGATCAGCCCCGAATTAATTCCAAGATTTTTTTACCTCTCCAAAAGACTTCAAAAGCTTCCTCTGTGGATTTGACCTCCACTTCGGTGCAGCCCATCACGTACATGTTGTGGTTCTGGTCTTCCCGAAGGATTTTGGACTGGGGAGGTCTTTGGGATGGCGGGAAAGAGGGAAAATAAGTAAATCCCACTGGAGGGGAATTCTCTGTGCAGATTCCTGCCATGCAGATTTTCTTGGAGGGCAAAATTCAGTGGGAAAAGGTCAAAATTCGGAGGGAAAAAATTCAGAATTTGGAGGGGAAAATGTCACAAGTCTGAGGGGAAAATGTCCAAATATTCTGAGGGGAAAATGCTCAAAAAATCTGAGGTGAAAAGGCCAAAGATTCTGAGGGGAAAATGTCCAAAAATTCTGAAGGGAAAAGGCGAAAAATTCTGAGGTGAAAAGGCCAAAGATTCTGAGGGGAAAATGTCCAAAAATTCTGAAGGGAAAAGGCGAAAAATTCTGAGGGGAAAATGTCCAAAAATTCTGAGGGGAAAATGCCCAAAAATTCCAAGGGGAAAATGCCCAAAAATTCCGAGGGAAGAAATTCAGAATTTGGAGGGAAAATGTCACAAGTCTGAGGGGAAAATGTCCAAAAATTCTGAGGGGAAAATGTCCAAATATTCTGAGGGAAAAATGCTCAAAAATTCTGAGGTGAAAAGGCCAAAAATTCTGAGGGGAAAATGTCCAAATATTCTGAAGGGAAAAGGTGAAAAATTCTGAGGGGAAAAGGTCCAAAAATTCTGAGGGAAAAATGCCCAAAAATTCCAAGGGAAGAAATTCAGAATTTGGAGGGAAAATGTCACAAGTCTGAGGGGAAAATGTCCAAAAATTCAGAAGGAAAATCATCCAAAATTCTGAGGGAAAAATGGTCAAAATGCAGGGAGAAAAAGTCAAAATTCTGAGGGGAAAGCATCAAAAATTCAGAGGGAAAAGGTCAATTATCCATCTAAAATATGGAAGACGGAATACAGGACATGGACACACAGCCAGGATTAGTGACGCTCCAGCTACCGCTCTAATTAGCAGCTATTTAATTGCAATTAATTGCTTTGGTGGCAGCTATTGCTTTTCTACAAGCACACAGAAGCAAGGAGAGCATCCTAGTTGTTCCTAGGAAAGCAAGGGAAAGCAGGGAATTTTCTGCTTCTACTCAAGGAAAACAGCACTGGAATAATGGGAATAAGACATTGGACACATACACAAAGTCTCCATTTCTCACAGGAGTGTTGCAATTGTTCCACCTACCAAAAAAATGGGGAAAAATATTAAATCCTTGATTTCTGCCTCAAATCTTTCCACGCTGCAGCTTTCAGAGGGAGAAATCATCCCAGATTTTTTTTTTTTTTTTTAGGGTGGGCTTTGGGAATAAACACCTTTTAATTTTTAAATGTTTTTTTTAAATTTTATTTTAGTGTTTAAAATTTTACTGTTTAAAAAGCCATTTTATTTTAAAATGCTTTTAAACCATTCATTGTTTAAACACTGAATGGTTTAAAAGCATTCCCAGAGTTTCAAACCCTTCTGGAATGAGGACCCTGGAGACAGCTCCCAGTTTGCTTTGCCTTCGTTAGTCTTTGTTAATCAACCACTCCCTAATTAACATAGGACTGAGAGGCTTCTTTAATGGAGTTGGAATTTCAATCCATGGATTCCAAGTGGAATTTGCAGACTTTTCCTATAGATTTTAGACAAGTGCACACCTTTGGAAAAAATGTCCCAAATTTCTGGTTTTATGGGAATTACTGATATCAAGTGGAATAATATGGAAATATGGGGCACCAAACCAGTGGTTTTCGCTTTTTCCAAGGAAAAAAAAAAGCTATGGAATGGCTTGCTCCAAGTTGAAATCACCTGTTAGAATAGGTTGGGAATTTAAGTGGGATACAACTGCCCGATTATTTAAATATTTGCTTACTAATCACCCAGCCTAACGAGGGAGGGAGCGCCTTGGCCATCAGTACTGAAACATTCCTGGCTGGACTCCTTTCCATGTGTTTTTAACAGTGATTCCCAGGAATTCTGAGCCAAGCTCCCTATGGTTACAACCAAAAAACCAGGGTGGAGGATCCTACAAAAGCCTCTCAGGACTGGGAACACGGGAATTCCCAAACTCCCTCGGGTTTGGTGGGCTCCAAGCAGATGGTGGATGTCGGACCAGGACGCAGCCGCCGCTCTCATCCCAAACCTCCTCCAAGCCCAGGCGGGGAAAATCCCGGATTTCCCAACTCACTTGGGTTTGATGGAGTCACAGGGAGCCTCCTCCAGCAGGTCGTAGATGTAGTTGTTGTAGATCTCGATGTAGGACACGAAGACGCCGTAGACGTTGTCCTCGTCCACCTCCTCCGCCCGGCAGCGATCCTGCGCGTCGATCATGTCGGCAAACTCGGGATCCAGCTGCCTCCTGCGGGAAACGGAGGGATTGGGAACAGAATTCCCGGCAGCC